TTCCTGTAAAGTCTACCTAGTATTTGGCAACCAGGGAATCTGCTGACCTGTGATGAGGGAATCTGTTTAAAGATAGTGTCAATCACTCAAAATTCACTACTGAGTAAATGCCCTTGTGGCAACCAGCTTCCAACATGGCCCTCAGTGATCCTCATCTCCTGGTATGAATGTCCTTGTGTAGTACTCTTCCACAATGAATTAGGATCAATCTGTGTGACCAAGAGAATACAACAGAAGTGATAGTATGTGACTCCAGAGGTTAGGTCAGAAAAGGCAGCATAGCTTCCACTACATTCTCTTGGACTTGGAATGTCATAAGGGAAAATTACCTCACTTAATCAAACATAACTCAGTACTTCCAAGGATTTGCCTGAGAACGTGAAGTTGAAAGGTTGAGAGAGGGAAATGACTTACTAGCCTCTACTCAGAATTTTGTTTTCTCTTCTGTTCCTCATGTTGATTGTCACTGCCACTGCACCCCCACACTGAGCCCTAGAGGGTCCTCCTACCATTTAACATTCTGATATAAAAGCAGGAAAATCTCTTCCTTTGGTTGGTCTATTATACTGAAGGTAGAATGGAATTTTATTTGTTTTATTGTATTTATTTATTTATTTTTGAGACAGGATCTCACTCTGTCACCCAGGCTGCAGTGGGGTGGTGCGAGCACAGCACACTGCAACCTCAAACTCCTGGGCTCAGGTGATCCTTCTGCCTCAGCCTCCCTAGTAGCTGGGACTACAGATGCACACTGCCACACCTGGCTGACTTTATTTTATTTTCTTTGTAGAGATGGGGTCTCGAACCAAGTGATCCTCCTGCCCATGCTGGTCTCCAACTTCTGGGCTCAAGTGATCCTCCCACCTTGGCCTCCCAAAGTGCTGGGATTACAGATGTAGCCACAGCACCCAGCCAAGGATGAAATAATTAAAAAAAAAAAAAAAAATTTCCTATATATTGAAGAAAACAAAGGGAGAAATAACACAGATAAAAGAAGTATAAAAGCATTATACCTAATACACATATTATATAATCATATTTATATTTAGTATATAAGTATATGTATATACATGCACAGAAAAAGGTCTAGAAGCTTAAAGGCTAAGTTTTCATTTATGGTTATCTGTGGAAAAGTAGAGGTAGGGGATGGCTGGGTAAGTGTGAAGGGTAAGTGAGGAATGGGAATGGAAATGGAGAGGGAAGGGGAACTTGGGTTTTAAAACGTTTATTTTGAATTATTTGAAAATTGATGGGCCGGGCGCGGTGGCTCACGCCTGTAATCCCAGCACTTTGGGAGGCCGAGGCGGGCGGATCACAAGGTCAGGAGATCGAGACCATCCTGGCTAACACGGTGAAACCCCGTCTCTACTAAAAATAGAAAAAATTAGCCGGGCGCAGTGGCGGGCGCCTGTAGTCCCAGCTACTCGGGAGGCTGAGGCAGGAGAATGGCGTGAACCCGGGAGGCGGAGCTTGCAGTGAGCAGAGATCCGGCCACTGCACTCCAGCCTGGGCGACAGAGCGAGACTCCGTCTAAAAAAAAAAAAAAAAAAAAAGAAAATTGATGATGAGAATGTATTAATGAATCACTTGTATAATTAAAAAATAAACTATATAAAAAACAAAAGCAAATGCAATCCAGTTACAACACACAGATCTCTTATTCCGTGATCATTAGCTTGTTACTAGGACTATTGGCCACACTAGACTTTTCCTTTTGACACCTGTTCTCTAGATGCTTTACTGTAAACCAGGGGTGTCCAATCTTTTGGCTTTCCAGGGCCACACTGGAAGAATTATTATCTTGGGCCACACATTAAATTTACTAACACTAATGATAGCTGATGAGCCAAAAAAAAAAAAAAAAAAAAATCACAAAAAAGTATTTTAAGAAAGTTTACAAATTTGTGTTGGGCTGCATTCAAAGCTGTCCAGGGCCACATGCAGCCTGCAGGCACTGAGTTGGACAAGCTTGCTGTAAAATTTCTGGGTTCCTTACTCCGCTGGCCTCTATAAAGGATGTGTCTAAGAACCATAGCCAAAGAGCTGCCTGAAAGACATCAAGTTAGGCACCTTCCAGGCCAATACTAAGGAATCTGATTGCTCTCTCTGCTGTTGTTTCAGTCAGCTATCACAACACTAATTCTGGGAACCAACTACTCCAAAACACTATTACTCCAAAACACGACTTGAAATAACAATCCTTTATTTTTTGGGTTGCTGACCCCAACCAGTGACTGGCTTCAGACCTGCTTCATACTTCTTGGATCAGCAAACTAGGCAGGTATGTTCTTCACATTGTGAAAAACAAGAGTGCCAGAGAGGGAAGGCGAAACATGAAATACCTCTTGAGGCCAGGCTCAGAACTGTCACACTGTCACTTCTGCCTATCTTCTTTGGCCAAAAGCAAATGGACTGATCTAAGACCAACATGAACAGGGTGGAGAAACATCCTATCTCTACTGAGAGGAACTACAAAGCTGTATTTCAAAGGGCATGCATGCATGGAGTAGTGAAAAATTGGGAACAATGTTATCTACCACTGTTATCCACCTGGGACTTTCTGGCTTATTGCCAATTGGCAGTGGGAGAGACTTTCTTCTCAACGTGGCTGACAACAGAAATTACATGACTCGGCAGGTGATATCTGTCCCTAACAACAGGAATCAGGCTTTGTCTTTGCCGGCTCCTTAGTATGCTATGTTATGTTATGAAGATGCAATATTATTATTAATTAATTCCCTACAAATATCAAAGTGGGCAATGGTTCCCATAAGTGATAAGTTATTTTACAAGAAGTGAGATAAAGACTCCCTTAGAAAGGGTGCTATGTTTGCAGAATCCTGTTTATTGTGTATTAAAGAGTTTAATGTTACCAAAGCTTTACAAATTCTTTAGTTCAAAAGGGTGTCGATAGTCCTATGATTTAGAACTCAGGAATCCAGAAAACTTTGTCAAGAGTTAAGAGGATCTTTGATTAACACTCACGGTCTCCAGGTTTCCCCTGTGTTCAAGAGTAAAAAATTCTTAAATAAGAATAGGAGCCCTCAGAGTTGCTGGGACTACAGGCGTATGCCACCACGCCGGGCTAGTTTTTGTATTTTTGGTAGAGACGGGGTTTCACCATGTTAGCCAGGCTAGTCTCGAACTCGTGACCTCGGGCAATCCACCCTCCGGGGGCTCCCAAAGTGCTGGGATAACTGGCGTGAGCCACTGCGCCCAGCCCAGAGTTGCTTTTTAAGACAGGAAGGGAAGACTCACCCCCAAGAAAATAGAGGCAACGACAATATTAACAAAAGAAAGAGATCATTACATTGTTAGGCTCTTCAGGGATTTAAATCTGGAGCCTCCTGCAGCTTTCTGACATTTGAGCCTTACTCTAGGGTGATTTCCAGGGTTCCAACGTCCCTTTCAAGAGAACAACTATCACTTATATTCCTCGGGGTTCCTTCTTTGCTCCAGACTGGTTGTGAAGCCGTAAAAATGGTAACGCTGGAGCCCAGAAAGGAGCTGGTGAATACCGCGTCAGGTGCCAGGTTCATCGCGGCGAGGCTGCAAGAGCCCGGGAGAGGAGCAAAATCAGCCCCGCGCGCACCGGGACAGGCAGTGCTTTGTTAAAGAAACAAATACAGAAAACGCTGGGGCGGAGAACGGTGGTGGTGAAGGAATAGACTGAGGCGTTTGTATGCATTAACTGTAGCTAAGAAAGCCCATTAAAGAGACGCTCCTACGCAAGGCAACCCAGGGCACCGTGTCATTGGCTTTTGTGCACTTGAAGGCGCGTGAGAGTGCCCCGCTCGAAGGCTCCCCTTTGTGTGAAAGTGTGGAAACCAAAAGCTTGCAGTTACTGCTGGGTTTTCGTTTTCGAATTCGCAGGCACTTGGGCCAAAATACTCCCTCACCAAAACACTCTCATTCTCGCACCAACAACACTCAGACTTGAGTTACTTCTCCGTTGCTGACCGAGCAAGGAGCGACAATGGCTCGGTGCGGCTGCCCGCAGCTCCCCGGGCAGCGCCAAGGGGCCGCCCGCCGCGCTCCGCAGCTGCGCGCTGGGCCCCGCCACCCGACCGCCAGCAAACGCCGGCACCAACCGCCTCGCGGCCGGGCTGTTGGGCGGGTGGTAATTTCTGGGAATGGGGCGGGGTCGCGGGTGTACTACGCCGAGCTATTGCTAGCGGGGAGGAGGAGCTGGCGGCGCCGAGGGGCGCGAGGCTGGCGGGGCGGTGCGCCACGTGCGTCACCGGCAGGGGCGGGGCCGGCGTCGCGCTCCTGGCCGGCGTCGCGCTCTTGCCCGAACCCCCACCTTTCACTTAGCCAAGGCTGAGGAGTGGGGACTGGAAGGACCGGGCTAGGAGTTTTTGCAAAACCTCGCTCCTCGTAACTGTCAGACTGCCCGACTCTGGGGCCATCTCCGGAGGAGAAGGGCGGGAGTCCTGAGTTGGGGATGCGGTTACGGCGGGGCCTGCGGGGCCCCTAAGTGGCGAGGGTGTGCGCGTGCGGTCCCGGCCGGCTGGGGGAAGCCGGCGGGCGCTGCAGGTGCACGCGCGGCCCCGTAGTCCTCACACGCCTGCCTCGTCCGGCAGAGCCCCCTGCATCAATCCGGGGCTGGAGTGGAGAGCGAGATCGGGGAGCCCCAGGCAGGGAGCCGGACAAGTGACGAGCGTCTTTACCTGGGAAGGCGGGTTTGGGAGAAGTTGGGCGAGGAGAGGAGGGCGGGATTCAAGAGAGCAAAAGAGGCAGGTTCGGCGGGCTGGTGGGGGCCTAAGGGCGGCGGGGCCCCGCGGGGTATAAATAGCCGGCCCGCGTTTGACAGGCGCTGCGGTGACTGGCGGTGCCGCCCCCGCCCCCCCGCCGCGTGGGGAGGGGAGGAGCGCTCTGAGCTGGCGGGGAGGGGGAGGCGGACTCCAGTGTCCTGGTGGCGGCGGCAGGAGGCCGAGGGGGAGGAGCCGAGGCGGGGGGTGGAGGGAGGGGGCCGGGAGCGGGGCGGGGGCCACCATTGCTCCCCGCGCCGAGCTCTGTGTCGCCGCCGTCGCCTAGGCGGTTGGGGGTCGGTGGGGCGGCGCGGGCGGGGGTCGCTGCGCGGGGCGGCGAGCCTCTGTTTTGTCTCCTCCTCTCCCTGTGGAGCGGCTTGGGCTGCTGGGGAGGCCCCGGCTCCCTCCGGACGCTCGGCCAACGGCGCGGCTGCTAGTCCGCGGCCCTGCTGAGAGGGAAAAGGACGCCGCGGTCTTCCCAGGCGTCGCGGAGAGCAGGTAAGAGCGCGGGCAGCCGAGGCTGGTGAGAGGGAGCGCGAAGGGCGCGGCGATAAAGCCTAGCTGTCCCGAGTGCCGCCGCCTCCCTTCGCGCCCCCGCCCCGCGCTTGTGTTGTTTGCTTCGGGGTATGCGGAGGGGTTTTCCGGCGGCTGTGGCGGTGACACCGACCGGGGACTGGGGGAAGGGGGCTGAGTGTCCCCGGGCAACGGTCGCGGAGCGGGACTTGGAGAAAGGAGAAGGCGCGCTGAGCGCCTGCCCGCGGGGAGCGCGGGGCGCGGGGCAGGGCTGAGGGAAGAGGTTACAGACCCCGGCGCGGGGGATGGGCCGAGCGCAGCTGGTCTCGCCGTGTTTACATCTCTGCGCGAGTCACCTCTGCCGAGAAGCGGACTGAACTGACCCGCCTCATCCCGCCGGGAGGCCAGGGCGGGGGTCCGGCTCCGGAGGAAGCGCGTCCTGGGAGGGTTTGTGTAGGGCGGGAGTCTGCGGCCGGCGCCGGGGCTGGGCGCGAGCTCGGGGCGGGACCTGGGAGGCTCCGGCCGCTCTGGGTGGCTGGGTTGAGGCGGGGTGCTGGACACCAGTTTCCTTCCCTGTCGTGCCTTATCGCCGCCGCTTACCTTTCCTTCCTGGCGCTGCTAGCTTGCACGACAGGTTGTACTCGGCCGTTCTTTTATTCTCGCTCTCCACGCCGGCACCCTGCTGCCATCTCCCCCTGTTCCCCGGGAGGCAGGGAGGCTTGGCTCAGATCGGAATCTGTTTCTTAAACAAAACAAAAACGGGCTCGTAACACGCACGTCCAGCGACCGCCTTCTGGATCCTCGCGAAGCTGGCCCTCAGGGACTGCGCGACGGGATGGTCTAGGGGCGCGGAAGGAGGACAGGGAGGGCTCTGCCAGGGCTGGATGCTGTCTCTACCCCAGGAGCTTTGTGATCAGGGCATCCGAGCCCTCTCTCTTGCTCCTTTTGGGCATTTTTATTCCATGTCCGTAAAGGACCGAAAAAATACTCCGTAACACCAAGAATAGTCCAGATCGCACAGTTTCTAATCTTTTCCCTCTGTCAGCATCCTGGATGGACTCTTTCTAGGAGCCAGATTCGCTGTAGAATAGCCTTTAAGTTCTTAGTACTTCATTAAATGAGGAAGAGGAGGACGCGTCATTGTAAAACTGTTAAAAATTCCCCCCTTTCTTATGTTCATGAACGTTTACTTCAGCTTAATGGTTTAAATTTTAATCCGGTGATGAGAGAACAGTAATCGTGTGCTTGATAATCAGATTTGCTTTCCTTTTTATCTGTGACTCTCTATCCAGAAGTAAATTATGCACTTTCTTTCGTGCCAGAATCAGAGAAGGATGTATGCTTTACTAAGAAAGGATTGATATTTGTGTTTCGGAGTTTCTTCAAAAGGTAGAATGACTTATATAGGACTGGAAACCGTTAAATTACATTTAACGGAGTTTAGGAATAACAAAACTTTTTATAGAGCATTACAGTGTACACAGTATATTCATGTAAATATTATTGAGACGATATCTAGTAGTTAAACACATGAAATGGAAAATTGGAATATCAGGTAGGGCGTGGTGGCTCACGCCTGTAATCCCAGCACTTTGGGAGGCAGAGGTGGGCGGATCACCTGAGGTCAGGAGTTCAAGACCAGCCTGACCAATATGGTGAAACCCCATCTCTACTAAAAATACAAAAATCAGCCGGGCGCGATGGCGGGCGCCTATAATCCTAGCTACTCAGGAGGCTGAGGCAGGAGAATTGCTTGAACCCAGGAGGTGGAGGTTGCAGTGAGCCGAGATCGGGCCATTGCACTCCAGCCTGGGCGACAAGAGCAAAATCCTGTCTCCAAAAAAGTGGACTATCCTGGGCATTTGAAATTTGAATATTTATGTCAACCTATTTTTAAGTTTAGTGATTTAACTCATTGGATTAATCATTGTCTCTTATTTCAGACATAAGTACTCATTTTACAAAATAAGCAGGTATAGTTGGAGAGAATTTGTAACTTTGGGGATTTTTCTATATCTAAGTAAACAGATTGGTACCTGTGGCCTGTAGGGTCTTGCTAATGTTAATGGCTTTACCTGCTCATGTTGTATACCATTTTTGGAGGGGAATAACAACGTCATTGTGATATAATTCACATACTAGTCAGTTCAAAGTGTATACAGTTTAGTGGGCTTATTAATTAATTAAAAAAATTACTCCATTTTGCAGGTGAACAATTCCAGTGGTTTTTAAGTACGGTTGTCCATCGGGGTATCTGTTGGGGAGTTGGTTCTAGGACCTTTCTCAGATACTAGAATCTGGATACTCAGGTCCTAAAATAAAATGGCATAGTTGCTCGTGCGATGTGCATGTGCCTGTAATCAGTTATTCAGGGAGGTTGAGGTGGGAGGATCTCGTGAGACCAGAGTTTGGACACCAGCCTGGGTGACAGAGCAAAATTCTGTCTCTTAGGAAAAATGAAGAAATAAAAACGACATATTATTTGCATATAAACTATGCATATCCTCTTGTATGCTTTAAATCATCTCCAGATTACTTATACTACCTAATACAATGTGGATGCTATGTAAATAGTTGTTATACTGTGTTTAGGGATAATGATCAGGGAAAAGAATCTCCTACATGTTCATTTACAGACAATTTTTTTTAGTAGTTTCTGTACCTCATTGATTGAATCCATGGATTCAGAACTTATGGATGTGGAGGGCAGGCTGTCATATTCAAAGTTTTGTGCAGTCATCACTATAATCAATTTTAGAGCATTTTAATCATCCCCCAAAGATCCCATATCCATTAGCAGTCGCTTTTCATTTCCCTCAGCACCTCCAGTCCTATGCAACATCGACTTTCTATCTTTATAGATTAGACTATTCCGGACATTTTATATAAATGAAACCATATATGTGGTCTTTTGTGACTGGCTTCTTTCGCTTAGCATAATGCTACAAGTATATCCATGTTATAATATGTAGTCGAGTACCATTTTCTTTTTTTTTTTTTCTTTTTAGTTCATCTATTTTCTTCTTTTTTATTTTTCTTTTTTTGAGACATAGTCTCGCTCTGTCGCCTAGGCTGGAGTGCAGTGGTACGATCTGGCTCACTGTAACCTCTGCTGGTTCAAGCTATTCTCCTGCCTCAATCTCTTGAGTAACTGGGACCACAGGTGTATGCTACAACACCCCGGCTAATTTTTTTTTTTTTTTTGGTATTTTTAGTAGAGACGGGGTTTCACCATGTTAGCCAGCATGGTCTTGATCTCCTGACCTCGTGATCCACCCGCCTCGGCCTCTCAAAGTGCCGGGATTACAGGGTGAGCCGGTACCCAGCCAATCTATTTTCTTTTTTATAGAGATGGGGTTTCACCATATTGCCTAGGGTAGTCTTGAACTCCTGGGCTCAAGCAATCCTCCCGCTTTGGCCTCTCAAAGTGCTGGGATTTCAGGCGTGAGCCACTGTACCTGGTCCTTTTTAATTAAAAAAATTTTTTATGGTCACTTTTTTTTTTTTTTTTTGAGATGGTGTCTCGCTCTGTTGCCCAGACTGGAGTGCAGTGGCACGATCTCGCCTCACTGCAACCTCTGCCTCCTGGGTTCAAGTGATTCTCTTGCCTCAGCCTGCCAGGTAGCTGGGACTACAGGCACGTGCCACTATGCCCAGCTAATTTTTTGTATTTTTTTAGTAGAGATGGGATTTCACTGTGTTAGCCAGGATGGTCTCGATCTCCTGACCCCCGTGATCCACCCGCCTCAGCCTCCCAAAGTGCTGGGATTCCAGATATGAGCCACTGCACCCAGCCTATAGTCACTTTTTTTTTTTATTGCTGAGTAATATTCTATTTAGGGATATATTACATTTTATTTATCTCTGCATCAGTTGATGGACATTTAAGATTCTATTTTTTTGGGCTATTATGCTGCTATGAATATTCGTGTTTTTGTGTAGATGTCATTTCTTTGGGTATGTACACTTTTTAATAAAATTAGCTTTTGACTTACACAAGTGCAAAAAAATTATCCATTTTGAGTATATAATTCAATACTTTTTAGTAAATATATAGAATTTGAAACTATCACCTTGAGCTAGTTTTCGAACATTTCCATTGCCTCCAAAATTCCCTCCAGCCTGTTTGCAGTTCGCCTTTATTCCCAGCCCCAGTCTCAGGCAATCACTGATTGGTTTTGTCTTAATTCATTTGCTTTTTCTGGATATTTGGAATTGTACCCGTGGAATTGTACAATATGTAGTCTTTAAATATCTGGCTTCTTTCTTGACATAATGTTTTGGGATTCATTCATATTGTAGCGTTTATCAGTTTTTTGTTCCTTTTTATTTTGGAATAGTATTTCTTTGTATGAGTATATGAAAATCCCCCCCCTTATCTATGTGGGATACATTCCAAGACCCCCAGTGGATGCCTGAAATCTCAGGTAGTATTGAATCTTATATATTTTTTTGTATCTGTATACCTAGTTTAGTTTGTTAATCAGGCATAATAAGAGATTAAAAACAGTATGATAGAATAGTTACAACAATATGCTATTCACAATTTCATAGATGGAAGATTTCTTACTGTAGATGTTAACCAAACTCAGCATAAAGTTTTTTCTTATTAAATTGAGAACTTTCCACTTTTCACTTAAAAGAAATATTTTACAGCTTCTCTTTGGCATATCCAAATTGTCATCCTCATTACTCTTGAACATTTGAGCCATTATTAAGTAAAATAAGGGTTACTTGAACACTAACTCGATACTAGTTGATCTGATAGCTGAGATGGCCACTAAGCAGGTAGTGCTGAGCAAGCGTATGAATATGGTGGATCAAAGGATGATTCCGTCGAGGCAGACGGCATGGTATGAGTTTTCATCATGCTATTCAGAATGGCACACAATTTAAAACATAGATTGTTTATTTCTGGGAAATTTTCCATTTTATCTTTTTTTTTTTTTTTTTTTGAGGCGGAGTCTCGCTCAGTTGCCCAGGCT